GCTAACCTGGCTGCACCCCAGACCAACCTAATCACATTAATTTCTGGGGCTGCAATTCAGGCATCAGTATTTTGTAAAACTCCCAAAGATATCTAAAAGTACAGCCAAGACTGAAAACAACTGGCCAGGCATGGTGGCTCATGCCTGTAATCCCAGCACCTTTGAGAGGTCGAGGTGGGAGGATCACTTGAACCCAAGAGTTCAAGACCAGCCTGGGCAACACAGGGAGATCCTGTCTCTACAAAAAATTTTCAAAAAAATTAGACAGGTGTGATGCTGCATGCCTGTAGTTCCAGCTACCAGGGAGGTTGAGGTGGGACTGCTTGAGCCTGGGAGGTAAGGCTGCAGTCAACTATGATTGCAATACTCTAGGGCTGGGGCACTGAGCAAGATGAAAAGAAAAAGAAAAAAAAAAGAAGAGAAAGGGAGAGAGAAAAAAAGAGAAAGAAAGAGAAAGAGAGGGAGAGGGAGAAGGAGAGGAGAGACCATCGCCCTAAACCTTGGGAGTAAAAAAGGCAATAAAAAGATAAATTCGGCTGAGCGAGATGGCTCCCACCTATAGTCCCAGCACTTTGGGAGGCTGAGGCCGGCAGATCACCTAAGGTCAGGAGGAGTTCAAGACCAGCCTGGCCAACATGGTGAAATCCCGTTTCCCCCGCTAAAAATGCAAAAATTAGCCAGGCGTGGTGGCAGGTGCTTGTAAACCCAGCTACTTGGGAGGGTGAGGCAGAAAAATGGCTTGAATCCGGGAGGCAGAGGTTCCAGTGAGCTCAGATCATACCACTGCACTCCAGCCTGGGGAACAAGAGCAAGACTTTGTCTCAAAATAAGATAAATTCAACACATTTACAAGTTTTCCAAACTGCAAAAAATTCTCATTTGAAATGTAAATAATGAAATACAGTCTTTGAGTCAAAAGGTCTTTACCATTATCGCCAATTTTAAGCTGATTAAAATGTTAACAACAGACCCTCTTTATGATTGGTCTTTGATACTTACCTGTCTGATCTATGATACAATTTGCAGTAGCAACTTATCGAGACTTAGATTATAAGCACCTTATAAATTATAAGAATCCAACTATCTACCATCTTAGTTTTACATATGTAAGCACTACCCTAGGTTTCACTCACTTTCAGAGTTAAAAACAAATATTCCCGGATGCCAAATACACCACGTAAGTGTCAAGGTGACACAACCTAAAATACTTTGTTCCTGAGAAACTGGATTCAGTCCAATTTCCCATCACCAAATTACACATTTTAGAGAGAAAAAAAATCCAAAAATTCTAAATCTGACTTATGATCAAGTGTATGCTTGGCATATGCAAACAGCATCACTCTACAAGTAGCTCAAATGAATACATCTAGATATATTTGTCAACTGTTTCAATTTCTCATTTTGCAACAATTGAGACTTCATCAACTGTTGAACAAAAAGTCCAAAATTTGATATACAGAACTGTATTAAATGCTGTGTTATGGCCACGCACAGAGGTTTACACCTGTAATCCCAGCACTTTGGGAGGCCAAAGTGGGTGGATCACCTGAGGTCAAGAGTTCAAGACCAGCCTGACCAACGTGGTGAAACCCTGTCTCTACTAAAAATACAAAAATTTGCCAGGTGCTGTGGTGGCACATGCCCGTAATCCCAGCTACTCGGGAGGCTGAGGCAGAAGAACTGCTTGAACCTGGGAGGCGGAGGTTGCAGTGAGCTGAGATTGTACCACTGGACTCCAGCCTGGAATCTCCATCTCAGATGGAGCAAGCCTCCATCTCAAAAACAAACAAATAGAGCAAGCCTCCATTTCAAAAAAAAAAGAAGAAGAAATGCTGTGTTATTCTGGTCTGTCCTTTAACTGTAGATAACAAAACATTTTTTGTCAGGTTACTTTTATACACAATTAACAGTCATCTCAGAGCCACCATCCATCATCGATCTAAGCAAAAAAAAAAAAAAAAATTATTCGTAACTACACAGTCTTCCAGGTCAACAACACCAACAAAAAGAAATCCAAACATATATAATGAGTGCTGAAATGCCGATTAAAAGATGCTTAAAGAACCAGTCACTCTAAAAAAAAAAAAAATCACTGAATTAAAAATGGAAAAAAGGTTAGGTATGAACTAGAGAGGGACAAAATGAACTAAATTTAAACATCAGCAAAACCTGTTTTCACCAAAATAGACAAAAATTTAGACAAGCCTAAATATGCATTTTACATATAATGAACCCTGCAGATTCTATAGGGTTAACCGCCCTAGTAGAGGCCTCAGTAATTCACACCTCAATTAGAATGGTGTCTAATGATGTTACTATAACACTGGCTCAATCAGAAAGAAACTGCTTCCAAGTGGGAGAGCTGCAGTGTGACTGGGCAGCACAAATTAGGTTAATGCTTGCTCCTTAATTTGGGGGGAAAAGAAAAACTGAAGAGGAACACAGAAAAGGAATTCACACACAATCAATCGCTCGACTAAAATGTAGCTTAAGAGGCCTTAAAATAGAAATTCCATTTGACCCAGCAATCCCATTACTGGGTATATATCCAAAGGACTATAAATCGTTCTACTATAAGGACACATGCACATGCATGTTCATTGCAGCACTGTTTACAATAGCAAAGACCTGGAACCAACCCAAATGCCCATCGATGATAGACTGGATTGGGAAAATCTGGCACATATACACCATGGAATATTATGCAGCAATCAAAAATGATGAGTTCGTGTCATTTGTAGGGACATGGATGAATCTGGAGAACATCATTCTCAGCAAACTGACACAAGAACAGAAAATGAAATAACGCATGTTCTCACTCATAGGTGGGTGACGAAAAATGAGAACACATGGACACAGGGAAGGGAGTACTAAACACTGGGGTCTATTGGGGCAATAGGGAAGGGACGGGGGCGGGGCAGCTGGGGAGGGATAGCCTGGGGAGAAATGCCAAATGTGGGTGAAGGGGAGGAAGGCAGCAAAACACACTGCCATGTGTGTACCTATGCAATTGTCTTGCATGTTCTGCACATGTACCCCAAAACCTAAAATGCAATAAAAAAAAAAAAGAAAATGAAGCACAAGTTTTCTAAAATAAGATTTGCTGCCTCCTAGTATAGGCAGAATTGCTTCAAGCAGCAAAACTATCATAAAAAGTCAATCATCCACATAAAACTTATTCCAAAATATTTCAAAGTGAAATATTTCTCAGCACAAATTTTCATTAAGTCTGAAAAACAGATTTGCAATTTGTTTTTTTCTAAACTCAAGATTTACACTGAAGGCACTGACCTAAACAGAGCCATACACCCCCACTTCAAAAATAAAAAACCCAAGATGCCATACTTTTTAAAAACTCACCCGAAAACCTGGAAAGCAAGGAAAAAGCCACTTCTATTAATAAAGTTAAATGTTGTAACAATTTTATCTAAAGAAGCTTTTGGTTTTAATTCCAACAACTTAAGCCTACATAATTCATCACCATCTTTAGATCTAAAGCTACTCCAAATTATAAATGCTTGGCCTATCTCTATTACATTTGTTCTTTAAGGAACCCATTTAAGTATACAAAATCATGACAGCATTATGGAAGAAACATTAATTTTAAAAATCCGTGTTTTTAAATGTTAATCATTTACAGTTTAGAATGTTATCTACTAATCACATCAGAACTTTCCAATATAGACAGAATAAGTCCTCAGCATAAAAAAAAAGTTGCACTTTAGAATTTCCTATATTTCAACTAAAATATATATATCTAGTCTCGGCAGAGTATGGCAAAGTAATTTATGAAATCCACCATAAAAATTATTCAAATGCCATGTTCTAAACCTAATTACAACATTATGCATTTCATTTTTTTGAGACTCTAATAAATATTTTTTGCCAGCAAAAAGTAGTGAATCTAATTCTTAAATACCCGAGTAACCAAGCTGCTACTAAGACTAAAAGGATTCTAATTCCGACAAAAGTCAAAAGGTTATTAACAAAAATTAGCTAAGATTGTATGTCTGCAGAAAGTCAACTCAGTCTAATTCCCTTATTATCTTGTTATATTTATTATTCCTAAGTAACTGGCAATTTCACCTTAAACTACGGTGCAAAAACTAAATGCATTAAGAAAGTAATTTGGAAATAAATGTGTGTGTGAGTGTGTGTGTGTGTGTGTGTGTGTGCGCGCGCGCGCTTTATTAAAAACAAATGTACTTAGGTTTTTGAGGGAAACAGCTATTAATATTCAGCAGGGCTTTGTAAAACCTCTGCACCAGCCAATAAACCTTTCAGGTTAACTAAACATACTCGTGTCTTTGAAAATCTAGTTTGAGAGATCCTAACAACAGTTTGGGGCAAGTGATGGAGCCACCGCCCTCCACCCTACACCCATTTCACTCTCAGTACACGTAGTGCTAACAGTAAGATCAACTGTGCCTTTTATTAGGGAGCATGTTATATAGGGGGAAGAAGGGGTTCAGTTAGGTGCTAAGAATGTGTCCGGCATACCACCGTCACTCTCAGTACTCAAAAACTAAACATATCAAAGACAGAAGCGTAAACTGGCATTGACACGACTAGGAAGAGAAAGTAAAGGACAAAGAGAAAACAGAAATTGGCTGGAGAAAATAAATTAAGACAAACAATTTACAACTTTCATTTAGACCGTAAGGCAACACACTCCAGCCGACCCAACGCGCTCAGCCCGGGCGACCAAGAAACTACTCCAGAACAACAAAGAGGAGCGGCGGCCGCGGCAGGAGTCCCGTCCGAGTTTAACTTGATTCTCGCACGAGCTGCTAGCGGAGCTGGGAGCTGGAGGGACGCGAGGCACCGCTACCCTGCATTCACCCAGCCCGCCCGGGCCGGCTCGTCAGGTAGCCACGGTCGCCCTCCCAGCGGATCCGCGCGCTCCCCGCCGCCGCCGGGAGCCCGCCCCGGGGCGGAGAAGCCGCGGGCGGGGTGCGCGGGCCAGGCCGGGGGAAGGGGAGGGGACATGGCGCGGTTACCTGGGCTCGGGCGGTGGCGAGGGGAGTCCGCTCTCCCGCCGCTGCTGGTCCGCGGACGCTCCGGGCCCGTCGCTTTCGCCCGCGGCCCGGAGAGCTCCTCGGCCCCCGCCCCGAGGCTTCCCGGCCAGGCCGCCTCTCCTCAGCGCTGCGCCGCTGCCCGCGCCGACCGGACCGCCTCGAGCTCCCGGGCAGCCCCGCGGCGGGGGGCCTCTCTCGCGAGGCACCCGGCTTCCCTCACCCGCTCCCACCCGCTGGGCGACTGCGGAGCCGAGGGGAGGGCGAGAAAGGCCTCCCGTTGAGAGCAGGAGGGCGCGAACGCAGGCTCCGCCACCCGAGCCGCTCCGTTACCGCAGCGGCGACGACGAGCAGGGCCGTGTTGTTGCTGCCAACTTGTCGAGAGAACACTGAGCATGCGCGCGCGGGGACCACATCCGGGTAATTTCAGGGTTTGGCCCTTTTCCCCCGCAGCTTTCCTTTCTCCCGGCTGCCCCCGCCTTCCGTCCCCCGCCCCCTGTGAAGGGGAGGGTCGCTCTGCGCAGGCGCCTGCCGGGCAGCGCCAGCCGGCGGGAGGCTCAGAGTCCCGGCCTGGGCCTGGGCCTGGGCCGCGATGCGGGCGGAGGGCGAAGGCCTGCTTGAGGGAGTGGTCGCCAGGGACACTGGCATCTCTTTGCAAAAAAGTACCCAAGCTGCGCAGGAGAGCTCGGCGTTGAGTGGGCGTCCAGTAAGTGTTTATAAACAGTGATTAGCCCGGCCTTTGTTGGTTTTTTGTTTTGTTTGGTGTTGAGGACCTGCGTAGGCACAAAAATTGGCCTTCAAGAGCCAGTCTACAGCTCGGAGGAGAACGTGGCTAGGTTGTAGCAGTTCACTTCGGTAAGAAACAGACGCTGGCCGCACCTTCCCTCTCCGGCAGCCCCGAATCACGAGCCCCAGAGGTGTTTAAACTCGAGAGACGCACAGGACAGTCAAGGAATCCCTTACTGAAGAGCCTTGCCAGGCGTTCCAAGTGTGGGTGGTTTTGTTGGAGGAGATACAGAGCACTCTCGGAGCTGGAGGGGAACTTCGACTCCTACTACACACCTATTAACTAGGTTATCTGTTTGTTCGGTGGGGAAAGGCATAGGCTCTGCTTTTGGCTTTATATTTCTTTTATTTCATTTTTTACAAGACGCATGCATTTCTTTTTTTAATTTAAAACGCATTAATGATATATTTTCACCAAGCAGGAACTACTTTGGGACTAGTTTTAGTCCCTCCAAAACTAATGATGAGCCAGTTCTAAAGTCATTTCTTAGGTCACGTAGCCCAGAACTCTCTACACCCACCGCATGCCTTCGCCACATAGATCCTCTGTGCCTCATTCTGTCCTCCACATCCTGGGCCATTTCCCCCCCACTTTTTTTTTTCTTTTAATGCCAGAAAGCCCCTAAAGCTTCAAACTGGTGTTCTCTTACCACTGGGGTTTATGAAGACCAGTTTTAAGGGATTTCATTTCCATATCTTCCGTTGCTATATGTTCTGTTTTCTAAAATTGCCCAGCTTGAGAAGGGAGCTAAGGACACAGCACCTGTTTTCAAAACTACCCTTCTCCCTCCCACCTTACAAAAGAAAGTCAGAATTCTTACTCATTATTAAGGTACACTGGGTCAATGCAGAACCTCCCCAGCAATCCAAAAGGGGCAATTCAAATATCGGTATCTATGCTGAGAAAGTAAATGACCTTAGGTGAAGGGTATTAAATTATTTTGCAAGTCGGATAGTTTTCCAATCTTTTCTGTCAACAAAACTGAAAGTAGATCTGTCAGCTAATAGATTACTAAACATGATTTAATAATAGTTCAATATGTGATTCTTAGGTAATACACTTCAGAAGAAGTTTTTTAAAAGTTGAGACATTGTTATAACTAAACTTCTTCCATTCCGTCTGTATTAGTTATCTATTGCTGTATAACAATGTCAGCACAAATATAGAAGCTTAAAACAACACATATTTATGATCTTACAGTTTCTGTGGGTCAGGAGACAAGGCATGGCTTAGCTGGGTCCTCTACAAAGTGAGGCTGGAACAAAGGATCCGTTTCCAAGCTCATGTGGTTGTTGGCATCATTCAGTTCCTTGCAGGCTGCAGGACTGAGGGCCTCAGTACCTTACAGGCTGTTGGCTGGAGACCCCCTCTGTTCCTTGCCATGTGGTCCTCTCCATAGGGAAGCTAACAATATGGCAGCTTGCTTCTTCAAAGCCAGCAATGGGGAGAGTCTCAGCAAGACACTGGTTTCAATCTTATGTAACATCATCACATACACTGTGTCACTCATACCCTGTCACTTTTGCCATACGTTGCTGGCCAGAAGCAAATCACAGGCACCACCTACACTGCCAAGGGGAAGGAGACACACAAAGGCATGAACACCAGGAGGTGGGGATCATATGGGGCTTCTTTAGATTCAGTCTACAATGCTATCTATTTATTTAGGCAAATGGCATTCTCTATAAGCTCAGCCTCTTCTCAGAATTTCTCTTCAGGTTCCCTTCACCTTTTTACTTAAGGGAAACCCCAGCTTTGCCCTGGAACACTGCTTCTCCTTCCACCTCTCAAGTAGTGGCAACTGTGTTTTCAGCTTTCAGCCTCTCAGTGCCTGGAAGTGGGGTAGGTTTCCTTCTTGCTTCTCAACATTGCTTTCAAACCATCCCCCTCCTCCTCTAAACCAGCAGCTTTAAATCTTGCTATCCAGTACCTCTATCGCTGACCTCACTCCCCTTCATCTCTGCACAATTTGCTCCTGTCAGTCACTCTAATGCCACTTCTGTCCTAGTGCTAGGTGGTTATAAGATCTTCCTAGTACCCTGGCCTCTCAGTTCCTTTTCTTCTTCTCCAGGGATCTCTCATTGCTTCAATTTTGTGATCTTACAGTTGCTCTGAGTCAGGAATCAAGGCATGGGTTAGCTGTGTCCTCTACAAAGTGAGGCTGGGACAGAGGATCCGCTTCCATGCTCATGTGGTTGTTGGCAACATTCAGTTCCTTGCAGGCTGCAGGGCTGAGGGCCTCAGTCTTTTCCTGGCTATTGGCTGGAGACCCTCGCTGTTCACCATGAACCTCAGGTAGCCCCTTAATGCTGTTCAGCAGTTCTGTCATACATCCCTGCTCCACTCTTCTGGATTTTGTACCTTCTCTGTCCTCTAACTTGCACATACCCTAACTCAGCCACTTACTCCCATGGTCATAATCACATTAGCCTTATCAAACTGCAACTTCTTCATTATCTCGGTTTCAAACATCTCACACCCCATTCACCACCTCAGTCTTCCAGGTCACTCCCTGTAGTACTCTAATTCCAACAATTCTTGAAGCCTCATATCCGCTCTCACCCAGCCTCAACCCCTGGCCAATCACAATCACTCTTATACATGCCCTCAGCCCCATTGCCTTTCTCTCCCTTTGTTGTGCTTGCTTGTTTGCAAAGCCATGATCCTGATTCAAGCTAGCACTCATGCATCTGAATGTGACTAGGGAAGAACACAATCTCACTGAGTACTTTCACTTTAATTTCATCACTATGAAGCTCAGGTAGACCCTTTGTGCTGTCCAGCAATTCTACTTCCCTCCTCCATTCTTCTGGATTTTGTACCTTCTCTGTTTAACTTGCATATCCTCCCCTCGATCATCCTCAATTACTACCCTTGTTTGAGAAAATTGAAGCAATAAGAGAAAAACTTCCACAGAATCTCAACATCACCCACACCCATATACCAGCCTCTACTCTGCCTTTCCCATCCTCACATGGTTGAATTGCCATGCTCCTAGCTAAAGGAGCATTGTCACCAAGATACAGATCAAGGTCCTATCTTGACTAATCAAGATCCTCACTGTCACTTCAGCAATTATCCCCCTATTCTATATTATCAATATTTCTCTACTGGGTCATTCTGGTAAGCTTACAAGCAGCTGTGATTTTTCCAGTCCTACAAATTCTTCTCTTTAACCTATATCTACTGTCAGCTATCACCCATTTCTCTAATTCCTTTGCAACGAAGCTTCTAAAAGAGTTTTCTATGCTTTGTCTGCAGTTTTCCCATTCCACAACAGCAGAATACATACCATACAACACCATTTATATAAAGCTCAAAAACATGTCATGCATGATACATATGTTAAGACTCCATATATATGTAGTAGAATCATTACACACCAGGTTACATACGTGGCATATTATAGATCATCAGCTGAGTGGTAGGCTCCCACCCTCTCTTAAACTCCATTCATGCTTTTGTCCTTACCACTCTATCAAAACTATTCTTATGAAGGCCAAAAATGAACTTCACATTGGCTAAACCCAATGATCTAGTCTCAGTTCTCATCTTGATTGATGTATCTGTAACAGCTGACACAGCTAATCACTTAATTCACTTTTTTTAACCATATCCTCTTGGTTTTCCTCCTTCATTGATGGTTCCTTCTTCCCTGTCTTCTTTGCTGGGTTCCATCTCTTCTTTCAGACCCCTTAATCAGGGCTCATTCTTTGAATTCTTTTTTTTTTATTTTTGAGACAGAGTCTCTCTGTTGCCCAGGCTGGAGTGCAGTGGTGCAATCTCGGCTCACTGCTACCTCCACCTCCCAGATTCAAGCAATTCTCCCCACTTCAACCTCCCAAGTAGCCGGGATCACAGGTGCCCACAACCACACCTGGCCCATTTTTAGTAGAAACAGGGTTTCACCATATTGGCCAGGCTGGTCTCCAACTCCTGACCTCAGGTGATCTGCCTGCCTCAGCCTCCCTAAGTGCTGGGATTGCAGGTGTGAGCCTCCCACACCCAGTCCCTTGAACTCTTTTTAATCTGTACTCATTTCCTTGATGTCACCAGTCTCCTGACTTTCAATACCAACTAAGATATATGATATCATCATATATGATGACAACCTCCTAAATTTATATATCCAGCTCAGACCTCTTACCTGAACTCCAGATTCTGATATCCTCAAACATGTCACAAACTGAGCAATATTCTTTCTCAAACTCGTTGAACCCACTAGCTTTCCTCTCATTTGATAACTATTGTTCAAGTTGCTCAGACCAAAAACCCTGAGTAGTTTGACTTTAATTTCATCACCATGAACCTCAAGTAAATCCTTGTGCTGTCCAA